GCAAGTGTGGGTTCGAATCCCGGACGGGACTCAACCAAAAAAAGTACGAGAATCTGTACTTTACTAAGAAAGTGTTATCCCAAATATAACATCGGTTACATTTGAACACTTTCTAAATGGCATTGTGTATTCATAGCTTTAGGCCATGGGAGCCGTGCCAATTTACACTTGTCAGAGGGGTACTCAAAGTACGTGATTTAGACTACCCGTTGTCGGACTTTCATTTTTGTGGAAGCCTCGGTGGCTGAGTGGGTTAGATCGCTGACTTTGTGTGCAGGCGATTAGGTGCCTCACTCTGGCAAGTGTGGGTTCGAATCCCGGACGGGACTCAACCCAAAAAAGTACGAGAATCTGTACTTTACTTAGAAAGTGTTATCCCAAATATAACATCGGTTACAGAAAGAACACCTTCGTGGAAAACAAGATGACGACAACGATGACCTCAAAGCTGTCGGGAATGGGTTTTTAGGGTGGCTTTAGAAAACTTCTTGCTGACTGGAATTGAAAAGCTTCACTGTCGATTCGAGAAGTGTATTGAAAAGCAAGGAGATTATGTTAAAAACACTTTCACAATTGTTGGTTTATTTGTTAGGCATAGAACCTTTTGACAAGCCCTCGTACTCTTCCCCGTGGGGGTGTACTGTACAGCACAATACTTTATTCTTAATACATTTTAGAACATAAAGACATAAGACTTTTGTAATGAGATTTTTTTTACATTTATTCAACCATGCGATTCAATTGGTGGTAAAATACAGTTTCTTTTCGATTAAGGGTATAGTTTCATTGATACATTTATAAAAGTACAGTAATGTTTATCAATTAATATTCAAATACATGATTCCATGAAACTTGTGTTTCGAAAAAGGGAATTGCCAACTCTAGAAGACGTTGTGACATCGTTTGAAAAATGAGCCGAAGTTATCCACAAATGAAATAACATAAAGAAACCCATACCACGTTCTCATATGCCTTGAAAAATAAGTGGAACCACAGATGGTGCTTATTCTGTACAAAATCCTGACGGACACACCCTCCTCCACACAAGCAGAGCGGAGCGAGACCGGAGTTATCTGGGAACTGTGGTCGCTCATGTGTCAGGTTTCATAGACTAAAGAACAGAACTTGAGCTGTAAGTCGCCCCAGATGGGGAAAAACTGGAAACATAGATACGCTTGCTGGCAGTTCGGTGTAAGGATATATATGCCTGCTGGGCGGTTATGTTTTACTGTTTTGTTATTTTCAATATATCACGTAGTTCATTTGCTTACGCCATGTGTGGAATCAGAAAAAATTGCAAATGTTTTCATGCTGGGTTAGACGATGTGTGGAAATTTTTATTAATTTTTTATTTATCAGTTCTATATATTATCATAACATCTTAAGTGTAGCTGCAGGTTGATGGTGTCCCCATCAGTACAAACACTTAATTCAATTTAAACGACACTTTCGGTTCACAGTTCACTTTTGATCGAACGTGGGAAAATGAAGGCCATGTAAGACAGGCGACTTCCGGTTGCGTTGTGACAAGCAGTGGCACCACTCGCTCAAGTGTTTGTTTGATGTGGAGCCCGGTTATGTACAGATAGGGAAACGGTGTTTTTGTATACGCACTGAAGCGTATAGGGATCTTATTGTCGGGGTTGAAGTCAATTTGACGATGATTTATTTCAGTCTTTTTCAAATATATGATACCCGTGAAGGTCCGTGAAGGGTAGAATAGGTCTTCAGCAACCCATGCTTGCCGTAAAAGGCGAATATGCTTGTTGTAAGAGGCGACTAACGGGATTGGGTGGTCAGGCTCGATGACTTGGTTGATGCATGTCATCGATCCCAATTGCGTAGATCGATGCTCATTATGTGAGTCACTGGATTGTCTGGTCAGACTCGATTATTTACAGACCGTCGTCATATATCTGGAAGTGCGGCGTTAAACAACAAACAACAAACAAAACAAATATATTTGTGTATGAGAGCTCTTTTCGTCTCCGGGAGCTAGTAATCTGGCAAACGCCACACTCACTCGGCTACCCTTCTACCAGAAGGTATTAATTTGTATTGTTGTTGTTTAACGCCTCACATTCAGCAATATGCCAAGTGTATGACGTTGACCTGTTAATGATCTAGTCAATGATATCATTGGTTTGTCTTGTCCAGACTAGATAGTAAACATGCCGCCGTCAAATTGCTGAGTGTTGTGTATTTATTGATTTAAATATATGTCTTTAACTAAGAAAATGTTCACTGTGTTCACTGTTTTCTCTGGGTTATGTGAAGATATGCCTTATAACCAGCCTGTGTATTATTCTTCCGCCTAACGATAACATAACATTTTCAAAAGCGAACACTGTTTTCATTGGGAGCATCAAACAAAGTACCACCTTGACGCAGTCACGTGGCCTACACAGCTCTGCAATCACGAATGTATTGGTGTGGTATTCAGGAAATACGAAGAATTTCCTAACTGATGCTTTTGACTTATTTCTGTCTCCAAAGCATGATGACTAAATGCGGAAAGCGGACCGCGCATTCCTAAAGAGGGACAAGTTTACGTGACCTCGCTATCACGCAGACTCCCAGTATCTCACGCTGCAGTACCGTAACAGTAGAGGCTAGGGGGCGCTACATAAATATTTAACTTCCGACTGAGGCAGACGAGACTACCGCGCGGCAGAGGAAAGATAAGAGAAGTCCCTCTTTTCATCACGTAGCGTAGATGTAGACTTGCTGAGGGATATCATACAGTAGCAAACGTCTCGAAGCTGTCTTTGCAGGACAAATGGAGGTTTTTTGGGCTGTATATATAAGGTCGGGTCAGGTGTACTTTCTCATCCGTCAATCAGCGTCGAGGTTTTGAATGAGCAATGCATTCAGACCAGTATATCTGATTTCTGTATCTCGAAAACGAAGTTAATCGGCGTGTTCCGAATTTAACTGATAAAAGTCGCACCAGACCAGGCCTTGTAGCGCTATAGCAACTACACCCACAAGGAATACCATCGAAGGAATATTTTTGTGTTCTGTGAGTTCTTTTGTTAGAATCAAAATTTTCGAATCGAAGCCATAAAGAAACGAAACCGAATCATTTTATCTGGATGGCTTAAGAACCAACATATCATTCATTTAGAATGGGCAGTCAAAGTTCGCTCATAGTTCGCTCAAAGTTCGCTCAGGGTTAGCTTGAAGCAACCTTGTGTTTAGATGTCCTCAGACCTTCACGAAGAGATGTGTCGTATCGGGAAAAGAAGATCTAATTTACCCAAAAGCGATATTACAGTCATATCCCTGTGTGTAATCAACCGGGGTCAGGCAAACCAGTGGCTGAATCACGCGCAATTCTCCACGCCGTCACAGCAAGGTCACACATTGTACCACCAGTCTTCTTAGCAAGCAGGGGCATTTGGGACTATACTTACCGGAATCCTTACGGGGATGAACAAGTGATTTTAAGTTGAGGGAATACGGAAAAGCCTCTTATCAAGTCTCAGTGTGATGTTTATGATAAAGTAGACTTGCTAATTGTTGTTAGCATGTATATATTATCTAACAGTTATTTTCTTGGTGAAAACATGGTTACAGCTGCATTGCACTTCCTGCACGAGATAAGGAGATAAGGCGTTTGCCATAGAAGTGTTTGTTGGGTGGGGTACGGCGTCATTCCGCCCAGCACTGGTGACAATAGCAGAAATAAACACATGGCGCTAGGGGAGTTTATATTGAGTAGATATGGAGGAGTAGACATCAACACAATTGTTTGCAGTATCTCATGTATGCCCGAGAAGGTTGGCGTTCACCCCCCATTGTGATACTATTGTGTACTCAGCTAGTGGTTACGTACATCAGCTACTGGTCTGTTTGTGGACATTAGATGAAATTTGTTAAATGTTGATTTTCGCCATGTCAGCAATGTCACGGCTTATGGCATTGTTCCAGCAGTATCAGAGCGGGTGCTGCGTGGAATGGGCTACACACACTGAACTGGGGAATCGACCCCTTGTCTTTGTTTTCGTCAAATATAGATGAACCTCGTTGGCACGAAAACGTTAGAAATCCAGTCAGAAGGTCATTCTCTCACCCATCTTCGATTATCCAGTGTAGTCCATTTACATTCTATTACAATAGATAATATAATGAACGTATTATACCCTGGATACTCGAGGATGACACAACAGGGACTAAAACAATTATAGGGGATTGCATGTCAAGAAATAACCTTTGGATGATGACTATGAGAGAGGAGACATCGTGAGACATGTGTGATTGCTTGTCATCTAATCCGATTACTTATTTATCGGTGCTCACACCATCAACCACTGGTTTGTCCAGCTTCAATGACGTACTTGGCATCCCATATTTAGTATTTTCTGTTACGGAGATAAACCCCATTCATTCTCACTTCTCCACATTATCATTTTATGATATGTTTACCATTCATCATTAGATCATTATCATCATTGTCATGTTGATCATTAATCATAAGATCATTATAATCGTTGTCATGTTGATCATTCATCATAAGATCATTGTCATCATTGCCATGTTGATCATTCATCATAAGATCATTGTCATCATTGCCATGTTGATCATTCATCATTAGAGCATTATCATCATTGCTATGTTGATCATTAATCATAAGATCATTATAATCGTTGTCATGTTGATCATTCATCATAAGATCATTGTCATCATTGCTATGTTGATCATTCATCATTAGATCATTGTCATCATTGTCATGGTGATCATTCATCATTAGAGCATTATCATCATTGCCATGTTGATCATTCATCATTAGAGCATTATCATCATTGCTTTGTTGATCATTCATCATTAGAGCATTATCATCATTGCCATGTTGATCATTCATCATTAGAGCATTATCATCATTGCCATGTTGATCATTCATCATTAGAGCATTATCATCATTGCCATGTTGATCATTCATCATTAGAGCATTATCATCATTGCCATGTTGATCATTCATTTTTTTCATTTTTTTGCAGGAGCTCTGACATCCGACGAAGAGGAGTCAATATTCCGGAAGCCGATGGTGGCTAACGCACGAAAATCTAAGGACAGAGACCTGGGTGTGATGAGAGAAGATACCAGGGAAATCCTCAACAATTTCTACATGCCTTTCAACCAAAAACTCTCCATACTCCTGCACGACCCCAAGTACCTGTGGACTCCTTCATAACCAGTGTCTTCTGTCTCCATCCAGTGTGTTCACGGCGCCCCCAGTGCTACGCCAGTCACCTATAGCAGCGCGTCATGTCCATACACCTGCGCCCAGGCAATAGTTTTGCTTGCCAAAAAACCCAACCCAATTTTCTGACCTTTTATCTGTATACTGGATACTGTTTGGTCCCTCGGGTGTATGGCATGCAGGGCAAATGGACGACGTCCTGGTACGCACGCTTGTTTTGATCCCCGCCGCAACGAAATCCATATAGCTAAACCTTGTTAATCCGGAGTTTCTTGTGCAGGATAAAGAATGCCCGATGACGCATTATAAATAGTATGTTTATGATTTTCCCCTTTCCACAAAAACTCCAGAGGCAAGGGGTACAGAGTTCGCGCCATTGTTTTTATTACACCATTACTGTGTATCAGAATGAATTATCTTTTGATATCAATATCCAAATAGCTATATGCGGACAACTGCTGGGGACCAGACATTGTTGATGATATTCCAGTCACTTGTCAATGGACGTTAACGATAAAGCACAACTCTCATTCGTAAGTCAAAGCACGGACATTGCTAAGCAACGATATATATGTGCCTAAACAAATGTATTTCGTGGATTTCTGAGAACATCAAATACATATACTCGAAGGAAACTGATTGCTTCCTGATTGTGTTCCACGAGCAAACGTTTGTGGCCAGATTCCAGACATTGGTGTATGCGTGGAAGGATTTTACGTCCGTGTGGATGAATCGCTGACGTCGCGGAGATCGCTGTTGAAAGGGAGATAACGCGTGCACTGAATTGCACAGTTAAAAGTCGGTGATGTAGCCTTGTGGGTATAAAGTGTACCCTCGTCACTTCAAAGACCCGGTTCGATTCCAAATGTGGGCACAGTGTGCGACGTCCTTTAATATTTCCGGAATATTTTAGGAAGCGTCGAAAACCACACCCACTGTATGTCTAAAATATGGTATTACCTTTAGTGATGAATTAACTGTGATGGTCATCAACTGTCAAACAATATTCTTACTAGCATAAGTGCTACTTTGACTTAACAGCATCCATGATATTATTTTATTATTTGATCAGAACTGATGCTTAGCCTTGTAACTGAACTATGTGTGGAGTTATCGGCTCTGGTGAATGGGATCCTGAATTGAGGTCATGCAACAACATGTGTATGAGGATGTCACACCAGATTGTCCTGAAGAAGTTCCAGATTAAACCTGTATGTCACAGCTGATGTGCGTAAGGAAGCACCAGATTGCACGTGTACAACGTGTGTGTACTGAAAGTGTCGAGACTCCGATCTGACAATATTAGAGGCCGCTTTCTATGAAAAGCTTACTAGTAATTTCTTCTGTGAAGGCACTCGTTTATCCAGACTGTATAGAAACACACGCTATATCTGTTTCAAATACGACATCATGGATCTTCATACATTAATCTTGTACGGGGATATTCTAATATGAAAACCAGCCCCAGGTGTATGTGATATTGAAATCATCTTCAGAAAAAGAGATGTTCTGTTATTCTGAATATGTCAGTTGAAGGTATTATCCATTGTCGGGGCTGACTACCTTTGCATGGTAGCCCCTTTATAGTATGGTTACAACTGGTTGACCGTTACACGTGATCGCTCTGTTTTGAGAGCCTGCTGTATACAAATAACTGCTGAAAATGCTCAAATTGCAATAACTGTTGTCGTATGTGCTCCGCTGCAGATTGTGTGTAATGAGGTTGCCATTGGTTTTGTACATTTCAGAGGTGACGCCCACTCAAATATCGTCAATACTATATCGCCTATTGTCTTCACGTTCCTCCATCACCCGAGACTGCATGTGGCCGATATGAGGTGCAGCAGCGAACAGGGTCTACTTTTAGACCTGTAATTGATTCAGAATGAGTCTGGGTAGACTGTCTCCCTGACCTTAGAGAATATATTAAGAAGACATCCAAATCAAGTCTAGAATGATTCCGTTTGTTAAAAATAGCACTGCAAAGCGGCCATATGTATTCACAGATGATGAAGGAACATAGTGCACACAAATCCGTGAAGTGTTGACGATGCAGTCAAATATGCTTGTATATTATACTTACAGTCACTGTTTATTGCGGAACTTCGTTAATACGAACGGTTCGGTTTCCAGTAAAATACATTTACAATTGTCGTGTTGAGTACGACATAAGATGCACAAGTTAAACTTGAATTTGAGGTTTCATTATTTTCATTGACGTCACTTGGGTCACAACAAACATATTGCTTTTTGGTCGGATTTTGTTAGTCTTGACGAGCATTGAAATCACAGTTGCCTCGTGAATTATATATATATTGCCTTTGAGTAGCAGGTGTTTCTGTTCCGAATGACCGAGTCTATCAAAGAACGACTATGCACAGACATGAGTGACTAATGTTTGTTAACTTTGGAGGAGGCCTTCACCGAAGGGTGGTATTCGGGTAGGTGAAAATTCCTTTTTGTTACGAAATCTAATTCTAAAAGGTAGAGTTACATTTCCGACGAACCGTAATCGATTTGTTGTGCCGTTGTGGTATTTTAAATTCATCTTTGCAAATAAGAACGTTATCAACAATTTATTCTCAAAAATACATATTTAATCATATATTATTGAAATATTTACAGTTTTATTTTCAGAATTGTATTTATGACGGTGGATATTTTTCATGTTGCATGTATGAGGAATGCTTGGTCAATGTCTTTGACGGTTATTTTTTAAATAAAATCTGTTAACGGTATACGATTCCGTACAATATCACGACCGGAATTAAACTCTTGAGTCCTAGTCATTCACTTTGAAGAGCATCGTTTTGTTTGAGTGACATTTGATTTGTCTCTAACATGGTATATGAGTCCGGGTATTCATTAAATCATGTATTTTTTCACTTCTGTGAAAATAGTTCTTTTTATGTTTTTGTGACAGCAGATCGAACATCACGTGTTAACTATAGCACACAGATATTATATGACATAAAGTTTTTATGCTCATTTGTTAAAAAGTCGACTAAGCCATAAACACAATGCGTGGTGGTCTTCACGTCCCTAGTTACTACAGCTGTAGTCAGTCAAGTGAACCCGTACAGAGTGGCATTCGTCCATTTACGTAACCTACGTTCGGCTCGACACGGCACGACACGAGAGGTGACGAATGACTAATGATAAAGCCCCGTAGCATTGCGTTTATGCTTTATGTCGCTTTCCACAAAGCTTTCATTCTATGAAGCTATGATCTCTGCCTTCAGCATGTTGCCTCATGTTTAGTCATGTAACCATGTACAATTAAAACTGGTTAACTGATTTCTATCTGCCTACTGTTTTTAGTTTTCAGTAATACATGAATCTAGCCGTCATACTGTGAGGTGGGTCCTGTCTGAATGCAGTTCATAGTAACCCGGCCGATCGGTTCTCATTCTATCAACCACTGGTCTGGCTGACCCATATTCGATAGTGTACATCCTGCGGGGATGTTCTGAACATTCGATTGCTCACTCAATTCACAAATATAGATATGCATGTTGAAATCTAAGTTTTTACTTAAAAGCTTATCTTGATTTTGTTTGTTTGTTTGTTTGTTTGTTGTTTATCGCCGAACTCAGCAATATTCCAGCTATATGACGGCGGTCTGTAAATAATCGAGCTTGGACCAGGCAATCCAGTGATTGACATCATGAGCATCGATCCACGCAATTGGGATCGATGACATGCATCAACCAAGTCAGCGAGCCTGACCATCCAATCCCGTCAGTCGCCTTTTACGACAAGCAAGCATGGGTTGCTGAAGACCTATTCTACCCCGGATCTTCAGGTTATCTTAAAGAAATTAGGTCATTTGCAGACGCCTTTAAAGGATATGTACAGTAAACTATAAGTATGTGATAAACACATACCAAAGAATTAAATAAAATAAACATCTTGAAGATAACAAATATTCTAGACTCAATATTAGTGACAAAAAACGTTGCAAACCTACTCGTATTCCGGAAACTACCGAGAGTTACTAAGCGGAGTGTCATCACGTGATCTGAGGTGATGGTGGAGTGCCGACATGCAGCGATCACTGTTTCTGTATAGTTTTGGGTAGATTACGAGCGTAGATTACCAATACGTTGAATTGTTGTCATTGATCAATAGTGGGACATTAGTGGCTGGCATTTAGGTCTAAATTCAGCATGCAAAAAAGCAACTCGTTTGAAAAAACATGGACCCGACTCTGATTATCAATAATCGATAATAACCATACATCCAATAACACTGACACATAACTACTTTTTTCACATTGACATTTATCGTAAAAACATTCCCGAGGCAAATACATGTACTTGATGTTTGTACAGATACTGTGCATACAGGAGATTCTCAACTTTCAATCTGGTTATCTAAAGACGTCCCAAAACTGTAGAGAAGTTCATCCTGCATGGTTTGTCAACAAAATAAGAGAGGCCTTTCCTGTACACCATAAATATGCCAAATATATTGCCTTCGTATGTAATCCTTTAATTTTTCGTGCTTTGTAATTGTGTTTCGATGATAGTCATGGAACAATGAATGTTAAATTTATTTTCGTAACCAAGTTCTTTAAGTTTGTGTTGATATCTCTCATAGACAGATTCCTCCAAATGCAAGAAACACGATATGGCATGGTTTCCATTTTCCTCCTCGCCGACATCGTTGTATCTAATCTTTACTCCTCGCTAAATCGGCCTTTTCACTTTGGAAATGAGACTTGCATTTTGGTACTTTTTTTAGTTGAAGTTGTACATCCCACGCAACTCAATTTCCCATCTTCAATACGTCAATTGTCTCTCGACTATGACGTCACAGCTACCGCTCGGCATACGCGCTGGTTGTGGGATGAGGGCAGTTGTTGGATGCTTTTTAGGTAACACCGAAATTACATATGACTGGTTAGGGGTGTAAATATGTACTTTGTATGACCATTTAACATGTTTTAAAATTATTTATTTTATCAATAGATGTTCTTTAAGCAATATATAAAATGAACTGGAATCTCAACTGAAGAATTCAAGCTCGACAAACAAACATGAATAAAAATTATCATCAGTACATGTATATGTCACATGGAACTAAATCAGTACATGGGTATGGAACATGGAACTAAATCAGTACATGTGTATGTCACATGGAACTAAAGCGGCAGGTGTGTGTATCACAAGGAATTAAATCAGTAGATGTATATGTCACATGAAATTAAATCAGTAGATGTGTATGTCACAAGAATTAATTCAGTAGATTCATGTGTCACATGAAATTAAATCAGTAAATGTATATGTCACAAGAAATTAAATCAGTAGGTGTGTATGTCACATGAAATTAAATCAGTAGATGTGTATGTCACAAGAAATTAATTCAGTAGATTCATGTGTCACATGAACCACAGTAAATGTATATGTCACAAGAAATTAAATCAGTAGATGTGTATGTCACATGAAATTAAATCAGTAGATGTGTATGTCACAAGAAATTAATTCAGTAGATTCATGTGTCACATGAAATTAAATCAGTAAATGTATATGTCACAAGAAATTAAATCAGTAGATGTGTATGTCACATGAAATTAAATCAGTGGATGTGTATGTCACAAGAAATTAATTCAGTAGATTCATGTGTCACATGAAATTAAATCAGTAAATGTATATGTCACAAGAAATTAAATCAGTAGATGTGTATGTCACATGAAATTAAATCAGTAGATGTGTATGTCACAAGAAATTAATTCAGTAGATTCATGTGACACATGAAATTAAATCAGTAAATGTATATGTCACAAGAAATTAAATCAGTAGATGTGTATGTCGCATGAAATTAATTCAGTAGATTCATGTGACACATGAAATTAAATCAGTAAATGAATATGTCACAAGAAATGAAATCAGTAGATGTGTATGTCACATGAAATTAAATCAGTAAATGTATATGTCACATGAAATTAAATCAGTAGAGTGTATGTCACATGAAATTAAATTAGTAGAGTGTATGTCATATGAAATTAAATCAGTAGATGTGTATGTCACATGAAATTAAATCAGTAGAGTGTATGTCATATGAAATTTAATCAGTAGATGTATATGTCACAGGAAATTAAATCAGTAGATTCATATGTCAAACGAAATTAAATCACTAGATTCATATGACACATGGAATTAAATCAGTAGATGTGTGTGTCACATGAAATTAGATCAGTAGATTCATATGTCACATGAAATAAAATCAGTGGAGGTTTATGTCACATTGAACCTATTTCAGTAGATGTGTATGTCACATAAAATTAAATCAGTAGATTCATATGTCACAAGAAATTTAATCAGTAGATGTATACGTCACAAGAAATTAAATCAATAGATTCGTATGTCACATGAAATTAAATCAGCAGATGTGTATGTCATATGAAATTAAATCAGTAGATGTATATGTCACAAGAAATGTAACCAGTAGATGTGTATGTCACATGAAACTAAATCAGTAGATGTGTATGTCATATGAAATTAAATCACTAGATTCATATGTCACATGGAATTGAATCAGTGGATGTGTCGGTCACATGGAATTAAATAAGAAAATGTGTATGTCACACATGTCTGTGTGTTACATGGAATTAAATCAGTTGGCGTGAGTGTCACATGGAACTAAATCAGTAGATGTGTATGTCACGTGGAATAAAATCAGTTGGCCAGGGGTATATGACATTTTTCAAGCAAAAGGGTCTTTTACACCTCTCAGGTTGAATTCAAAGTCAATAAAAATGTGGATTTATGGCTCACGTTGCTAACTGTTAGTCTGTCATATAGACCCTGAAACAAATATATCCCATACAGCCCATGCAAGTCTATAATGTTTGGCAAGTCCAGATTACTCCAGTATCAGCAAATGAAGAAAGTCCTCTGGGCTCCTTTTTATTATATTTTATAACTATAATTTAAACACATTTTTTTATGTTCTGTAAAATATGTTCATGTCAGAGACTAGACGTTAGTCCAGGTTTCTGCTTACTTTAGGAAACCCTGTGTAAACGTTTCCATTGTGAACTAGCGGTGAGACTGTCGCGACTCTTTTGTAACTCTACATTTGCATTGCTTCGTGCCTTTGATGATTAATAACATAACCGCGTCAGGCATGATGGCTCACGTTCCTGCCCAATACATGCTTTTAGACATTCTAATAAGCTGTATAGACATTTCAAATGAATTATGACTAAAAACCAATAGAAATGATTTTATCACTATAACCATTTGCAATATAAATGTCTGCAAAGTAAAAAAGAAATGGAGAAAAAACGCACCCCTGGTGAAGTCCTGCATGACAACTGTACTCACAGACTGACAATTTCTATACTGCTGATTAAACTAGTGGATGATAAATGTCACAAATCTTACCTTACAGCACCGTAACGAATATGGATACAGGCACGCTACGTGTGTTCGAGTGCATGTTATATAATACAATTTGATTAGATTAGTTACGAACGTGTTCCTCAGTGATTTAACTATTCTTGCTCTTTTTAATGAATTGTAATTATACGAAATTGTTAGGTAGAAAACTTTGAATTGTACATATTTCTGAATAAACTTTAACATAATAACATATAACCAGTTTGGGTCTTCTGCTAACTCTCTTTAAAATAGAATGGATTTTCTTTACAGATTCTTATATTTTGCATAACGATGAAATATATTGTATCTCCGCAATCTTGAGAAAGTCATACGTGGGATAATCCTGCATTAAATAACATATTACGTACGTCAGTAGACTGTCACTTAAACCAGTTTCACCACACTGTGAAATCACTTAGATCCGGACGTACGGTATCCTCCAGGTTAACAAATTCCCAGATCAACGAATCAGGGAAGCAGAGTATTAATGTCCTTTGTTTATGCGCATTTGCTCCTAGCGGCAATCGTCCTTAAAATAGGGGTTCTGGATTAAGGGGGTTTCACGGTACATTTATATCTTTTTATTACAGCCATTCGGATAAACCTAATTTTTTTTGGTGTCTACATTTATAATAAATACGACGTAAAACTCAAATATTTATCAACTTACTATCTGCAAACATAAATTTTATGACATATCTGATATCTCTTTCTTGAAGCTCATTTCCTAATCTTCTATAAAGTTAGCATCATCTACGACATTATAACATATATCTATAATATTCGAGTTCGAGAAACGCACTTAATGTATGTGGTTACAGTGGTTACGACGTCATTGCTTCTCGTTGACGTCATTTGAGCTTCTCGATTCGGTTTTCAATATGAAAGACACCACTTCCAGGTTATAACTGAAGTGATGACAATAAAAGTAGCTTTGATGCTGTTTTTTACGAAACCCGTGCCATAATTCGTGTATTTCTGGTAAGATGAAACCAGATACTCCGTAAAATCAGTATGATGCCCATTGGTTGGTTCGAATCCCAGATGCGACTTGGCTATAATTCTTGGTTTGTCAGCACCAAAGCTCTGTTTGCTGGTTCCATGGAGTGGCTAACAGTTATAAGCTACATTGCGTTTTGCTTTTCTCCAAGAAGCTGATGCGCCGGAATGTTACTGAAATACTGTTCTGATCGGTGTTAACCCAACTCACGCTTACAGCAAAGGGCCGCCTCCGTGGTCTAGTGGTAGAGCGTCCGCCCGAAGCGGAAGGTCCGGGGTTCGATCCCCCGCCGCGTCATACCAAAAGACGTTAAAAGAGGGTTCTTGTTGTTACCCTATCTGGCACTCGGCATTAAGGGACGAAAAAAAGGACTGGTCAGCTCGGAGTCAGTATACTGTGTCTGAGTGGGGTATTCGTGTGAAACTGCGGCATGGTATCTCAGTTTGCAAGCACTATAAATCGGCATAAGTCCGGACTAGTACGAGTAGCCCCCTCACACACACACACACACATACACACGTACATGCACGTCGCTATATAAGTGCAATAATCTTGGACGCGACGTTTAACCCAATTTCACCTCACCTCTCAGGATCATACACTCTAATTCACAAGTCCTTGTATTTAAAACAGGAACCAGCGCTACGCTTTAATATCTGTCATCGCATGACTATTGAAACACACATGAAACATTGAAACATGAAGACCGCTCCGTGGTCTAGTGGTAGAGCGGAAGGTCGGGGATTCGATCCCCGGCCGCGTCCTGCCAAAATGGTACTTGTCGTTACCCTGACGCTCGGCATAAAGGGGCTAAAACAAGGACTTCTAAGTTCGGAGTCAGTATACTGTGTCTGAGTGGGGTATTCTTGTTAAACAGCGGCATGGTATATCAGTGGGCTAGCACTATGAAATCGGAATTAGTGCGGACTAGTACCAGCAACCACACACACACACACACACTCTCACGCACACACTCACAGGTGCATGCACGTTGCTATATAAAACATGAACGCGTGAAAGCACGGCGGTATGGAAGTATGAATGTATAAGGCTCATATCATGACAACTGACAGAAAAAACAACATAACCAATATATATATATATATATATATTTGTTAACGGACACCTGTGCATGCACATCGATATCAAAGATGAGTCATTTGTAATTTATCACTTGTAACTAAGCACAACACAGACACTGTTGATAAAATGCTCTTTAAGTCATTTATCATATAAAACTTGATGTATGAATCCATTACAGGAAATAAAGTGAGAACGTTTATATATTATTCTTAAATATTGTTATCACTACTTTCTGTAGAAAACGAAACCAAACATCTTGATCAGTGTAAGAGAATCATGAGACAGGAGTCAGGTTCGATATGTCGTTAACATGGAATGTTCGAGTAAGCTTGTGTTGTCCCCCCCTGCCTTACCCAACCACAAGTAGACTCATCCAGTGTCATGACGTCAAATGTGTGTCTATAAATACCCAACGTAACGGTGCCGCTACACCAGGCGGACACCGGAGATCGTAGCTCTCCCTCTGATCACCTGTAAATACTGTGAGTATAATATATTTGAAAATATACTACCACAACTACTACTACTACTACTACTACTACTACTACTCCAACCACCACCACCACCACTACTACTACTACCACCACCACCACCACCACTACTACTAATACAACAACCACCACCACAACCACCACTACTACTACCATTACTACTACTACAACCACCGCCACCAGCACTACTACTACTACTACTACTACTACAACCACCACCACCACCTCCACCACTACCACTACTACTACCATCACCACCGCCGCCACCACTACTACTACGACTACGACGACTACTACTACGACTACCAGTGCTAGTACTACTCTACTACTACTACTACCACTACTACTACTACTACTCTACTACTACTACTACTACTACTACTACTACTACTACTACTACTACGACTACTACTACAACTACTGCTAGTACTACTGTACTACTGCCCCCATTGATACCTGTGGTATTACTGATGCTGCTGCTGCTGCCACGTACTATTACTACTACTACTACCACAATTACTACTACAACGCTTCGAGTTGACTATGAACACATCAGTTTTCCAACTTGGATTTCTGCATGACTCCATCCGATTCTTTTAAAGGGTTTCCGTTCTGTGGAACTGGAGACAATTCGCTGTACTCCCAACATTCAGTTCTCTACGATAAGAATGTGGCATTGTAGAGACAGCGAACCCCTGTTAGTGTGTTGACACCCCGCCTTTCGGACAGTAACTGTTGGGGGGTATGTCAATAATCAAGGCGACATAGCAACGCCATAATTCGTTAATCCGTACATGTGTTAATCAGTATTCCACATAGTATGTATCGAACGGATTAACGATGTTTCACTGTAGATGTGTATCTTTCAAAGAGTTAATCCATAGTTTTTATTTTTATCCCATCTAGAAACATGAACAGCTTCACCATCTTCTGCCTCGTGGCATGGACAATAACGTTACTGACAGGTTTGTCTACAAAAACAATGTTTCACTCATAAAATTTATAATCTTAATACAAGATACAATTAACACGGATCAGTTTTCTTTATTTATCCATAATATACATTATACGTACACTTTAAATTAGGGAAATACAGCGTTAAAGGAAGGAACGAAACATGTTATTAAACGAAATGTTGGTTGTTAAGAAATGTCGGATTTTCAGAAACCTCTTTGGGAACATGAGTTTTCATCATGTCATAACGTTAAATACCTTGTGGTCCTATCGCCAGCATTGCTTCACTATCTTCATGCCGCTTATAATTTAGCATAGGATTTCTTTCACCCTTTTACTATTTTAGCCTCGTGACATTAAAATCGCGTTGGATCATTAAGCTGATGGGCCTGGGTTGTTCATCGTAATAGAATGGAGCCGAATGGTGGTATAATACACAGGATAATCGAGGATGTGATCACTTGGATATAACCAGTTGATCTTAAGATACACTGATATTCGTTATTCGTCCTGATGGAGCTATTCGCGGCGATGACTGAACTGTAATTTATCACCCTAATATATTTTAACTATGTATATTTCCCCTTTTCAGAGCCCTTTCGTGTGGTAAGTACACCTCTCTAATACTGTAATATACTCAAGTGCAAAAATAACGTGATCATTTTCTAATTTATCCTAAAGCGAAGGACGTACCTTAAAACTGTTTAAAGGTGTAAATTGAACTGGGATACTGCAGACGATTGACTAATTTAAAACAGAAAGAATATTAATAATCAAACTTAAGTTTTGTCTTGTCATTTTTTGTTAAGTAACCCAGTACTAGAAAATGAAAGTCATTATTTTCATTCCACAGGTCAATGAAAAGACCCCATCGGTCTTCCTTGACAAGTAGTTTATAGTGTATACAGTTAGAAGGTTAACCAGTCCGTGAAGCCATGTGGTCAATAATGATTATAATCATTATAAATTTTCAGTTGACGATAAATTTATGTTATTAGAGTTAGGTTTGCCTTTGGTGTGTACGGCACTTTTATGTATTCTGTGAAAAGAAGAATATATTCTAAATTGTTTTCATGTTTTTTACTGCAATGATGTACAAATCTTTCTTTGACTTGAAACTCGAAATCGAATCTCTTTGTAGAAGCCGTGTAAAACCATACGACAATGTCATTTATAGAAGCAGTGTAAAACCGCACTGTAATGTCATTTATAGAAGCCGCGTAAAACTACCTACGATAATGTCATTTATAGAAGCCGCGTAAAACCATACGTTTACGATAATGCCATTTATTCAAGCGGTGTAAAACCGCACTGTAATGTCATTTATAGAGGCCGTGTAAAACTACATACGATAACGTCATTTATAGAAGCCGTGTAAAACCATAGGATAACGTCATTTATAGGAGCCATGTAAAACCACATATGGTAATATACAAGCGGTGTAAATCATATGATAATGTCACGTGTACATGCAGTGTAAAACCATACGATAATGTCATTCTTACAAGCAGTGTAAAACCATAATGACATTTATGGAATACATATAGCTTGCCTCCAACGTTTTGAAAATATTTTGTAGGTAGCGGCGGACAGTAACAGCACTGTGGCAGGAAATGGAACAAATACAACAAAAAAAGACGGCGTAAGAATTAAATAACTTTTATAATATCCTGTTAATTATAGTGTGTGAGTAAGTGAGTGGTTTGTAACACTATTCCAGCAATATCACCACGGGGACCCAAGGAATCGTCACCATATTCTTTTACCGACGTGGACAACTGGACCTGGGAATTCGGCTTGACGTTTTAACTACTGAGCTACACTCTATAAAATAACCGATGTTTTAATGCATATGTACTTTGTTTGTTTGTCTGTTTGTTGTTTAACTCCGCACTCAGCAATAGTTCAGCTATAGAACGGCGGCCTGTGAATATTCGAATCCGGACCAGGCGATCCAGTGAATGACATCATGAGCATCGATCAACGCAATTGGGATACGATGACAAGCATCAACCCAGTGAGAGATCGTGACCACCCGATCCCGTTAGTCGCCTCTTACGACAAGCATGGGTTGCTAAAGACCAGTTCTAATCCGGATCTTCACGGGTCAGACATATGTACTATCTGTTGACCTGTTGATCTATCAGATAATGAGAGTTCAGTATATATGCATGGTGTACCGCGGGCTGTACAAGTCAACTTTGAGTATTGCTAAATCCAAATGATCCTAATTTATCATTCAACATCAACACACACGGTTTTTCAGGGTTTAAACTCAGATTCATTATAACCGATATCTGCTCACATCCAGAGTGGATGTGTTGACGGGCGTTGGTGGATTCGTATAACATACGTTATTTACCATTGTTTAACAAATTCCCATATGAAGTCCTCCCTATGGAGAATACAAATGGAATGAAATCTGATCGGTGACAAGCTGATTATCCTCTGCGGTTGTAATCAGAGTTGTGCAACAGTAGGTACAAATGCTTCTTGAACATAAAGTGACGGCGAAAAGAGACTTTTTCATAGTTTTAAATCACCTTCGTTTAAGAGATAGATGCATGGAGTAAAATGTATTGAAAATATCTAGGTATCAGCGAAATCAACATTTAAAATGACAGTCATACAGCATCCGATCTCGGCATGACAGTTGCCCGAGGTAGGGTAGCAAATACAAGCTTTCAACGTAATGGACAAAGGGCACACTCATCTATAATCTCTCAAGTACAATGACACGTCACATTAATAGCGTGTGTGACCACCACATGCTACTAGACACGCAAAAACTCTCCGGCGCAAAGAAAAAGTCAGTCGTCTGATGACGTCACGTGGGATACGTCGCCATTCTTCTTGGAGGGCCTGGATCAGTTCTTGACGGTTGGCTTGAGGATGTGGTCGCTGTCGAACACGACGATCCATGACGTCCCCGAGGTGTTCTATGGGGGACATGTCTGAGAAGCGTGCAAGGCCACGGCAACACGTCGACGTTGATGGTTGCAAGGAAGTTCTGTACGATTCGGGATGTATGGGGTCTGGCCTGGCAGCTGTTGTAGACATGGTAGGACGATCGTACGAAGAATGCCATCCACGTAACGCTGAGTTTCCGTTAACGATGACCAGTGGTGTTCTTTCCTGCCCACAAATTCCTTCCCACGCCATTACATCTCCTCCACCATACGGTACGACCCCTTCCGCGGTAAACACGCTGTCTTCCATCAACTCTGAACAGTCGGAACCGGCTTTCATCAGTGAAAACAGGGCGGCCGGATAGCCTAGTGGTTTAAGCGTTCGCTCGTAACGCCGAAGACCCGGGTTCGATTCCCGACATGGGTACAATGTGTGAAGCCCATTTGTGGGGTCCCCCGCCGTGATATTGCTGGAATGTTGCTAAAAGCGGTGTAAAACCAAACTCACTCACTCACTCGGTGAAGACAACGCTCTCCCAGTCACGTCGCTGCCAACGACGTGCAGTCCGGGCCCATCTCAGTATCTGACGACGATGTTGCGCTGTCTATAACTATCCACTGTAAAGTCTGTAAGCCCAAATTCCTTAAGCCCTGAGTCGCCTGGCCACTGTCGACTAATCGGTCGCTGATGACGTCACTGTCAGGAATCGATTCCGGAGATGCAAAGTATGCAAGTACCGGTCATCATTTGGGCGTAGTTACCCTCGGTCTGCCTGTTCTTGGTCTGTCTGATGTCTACCCAGTCTGTCTGTAACGCTGCATCAGGTTAGTTACAGAAACACGGGAGCAATCGAAAGTTCAAGCAATGTGGGAATAGGTGGTTCCCAACCTGTATCATACCCAGGACCCGCTCGCGTTGTTCGGGTGTCAGTCGTGGCATTTCTACAAACACAAACGTGCCGTGAACGTGATCAAAGAGCATTATGTTTGGACCATGTATTTTGCATTGATTTAGTTTGTACTTGTGTTTTTAAATTTTTGCAATTTATTTTTAAAGTGATAAAGTTTCTTTTGGCCAACAGTTTATGTTTTTTCGTATTTCTTTACAGAATGCTGCTGAAACAGTTGCCATAGCAACACCCCTGATCCTGATAGGCCTTGCCACCGCCCTCCAACTTGCTGCGCGACCTTGACATCCACGATATACTTCCTGTCACGTGTCCGGTTTAAGCATCCCGCTGCGCATGATCCTGTGGTTATAAAATGTTAAGGTTTATTTTGAACTTTCTTTACGGATAAGGAATTCATTTTGCTGTATGCTGTATTGCTGATACATTTGTGACCACTCGTGTCAGTCCGGGGCAAGACAAGTGTGGCATCTCGTTTACCTCTCGCTGCCATCTTATCAACTGGGTTCCGCCTCCATGAAAGCGGGCATACCGACAGGAATAGTCAACTCATTATCAACTATCCAATTGTTTGTGTAAACTTAAACGGGTATTTTCCACAGTTGTTATTGACAACAAATGTGATTGTTTTGGTAAAATTCAACATGACACGAGTATATGACCCTTGGATAAACAATTAGATAAAAAATACATAAAATCAGGCATTTTTGATAGAAATGTAGTCACACGCGCTTTCTGCACGGTTTATCTAGTCTCCACACGTAACAAGGGTTGACAGGGGACTGAGCGTTCTTGCAGGACACGGAAAGGGACGAGTGGGGCGAAATTCGTTGGCGTGAAAACATTAGAACACTAATGCTTGTCACTGAACTAAGAAACATTACTTCAATATTTTATCACCACAGGTGAAGCAGTAACACGGGCACTGGCACAGGCGCTGTCCAAGTACATGTCAATGAGACCGTAATTGATAGCACGTGTTTGTGACTTATTGTGTTAATCTTCATGATTTTGTTTCCATTTGATTAAAAACATCTTGTTAACATTTTTGTGTTGTTTTTTTATATCATTTAAAAGAAAGAATTGCCCAAATACTCTTTGTGTGAGTGATATTTTCATTTTCGGCAAAGATTCAGCAATGTCACAACAATAAACACCAAAAACGTTCATCCGGGTCTTAGTCGGGACGGGGGCACAGGTAGCCCAGTCGTCTCAATTCGCTGTCCAGGGTTGCGTCACATTTGAACGCCAGAAACCTATGGATGTGGGAAAATCCCCGTTCGCTCCGATTATGTTTCTAGGATTGTTAGCATCATACCCGTGCTCGTGGGTTTCACCAAAATGGTAAACCTCTGAGACCTGCATCACTTCGGACTTTCCTCCCACATTAAGCTGACACGCCGTGATATAACTGGAATACTGTTCAAAGCGGCGTTAAACCTCACTCAATCACTCACTCACCCTGTAACACGTCGGACGTTCCTCCCACATTAGGCTGACACGCCGTGATATAACTGTAATACTGTTCAAAGCGGCGTTAAACCTCACTCAATCACTCACACACCCTGTAACACGTCGGACGTTCTTCCCACATTAAGCTGACACGCCGTGATATAACTGGAATACTGTTCAAAGCGGCGTTAAACCTCACTCAATCACTTACTCACCCTGTAACACGTCGGACGTTCCTGACACATTAAGCTGACACGCCGCGATGCAACTAAAATACTGTACTGTGGCATTAACCCTATCTCAGTCACTCACTCACTAATCTGCATTACAATAAGCATGTGTTCATGAATTCCATCAAATAGTGAAACGGTAAGCTGTGCCCCACCGGGGGCACCCGTCACCAACAAGTCAGCTGTTCTCCTGAACAAACGTGAACGTAGGGGGCAGCTCACAATAGGGAATTGCATCGGACATCATTTTGGCCACCTGTTCGCGAACATCAGGAATATCATTAATACTGCTTATGATGTAGTCAGAATGGTACAACGGACTTTTCTTATGGCTATGGAAATGTTTTTTGCCGATTTTATTCATAAGCAATATGTGTCACTTTGCCGTATATATGGTAGAATGACCCAGTTCATGCAGTTATGTTTCCTTGTCAGCTTATACATTAAATATATACAGAACACGCTCCACCATAATATCGTTCATATCATTTATAATCACACACCCCGAAATCGTTCGCAAATGGCATATTTAGTTGGAAGGACACATTCATTACAGGAATAGCATCGTTGATCTCATGCTGCAGACTCGACGAATAAAATTTTGATATACACTATTTACATTCTGTTCCGAAATTCCCAAGGTAGTGTATCCCTTATTGCCACAATTATAGCCTGAGGCTTTTGTTAATTTTAGAACAGGCCAATAAATGAATGAAATCTTTGATGTGTTCAAAAAGGTAGAAATGGCGATAGATATTTGTCGAATTTGCACACTAAAAGACCAGTCAGGTGGAAGACACTGAGATTTTTTTCACTGACAGGCACTGATGCTGCGTTTACATTCCCCTAACTCAGATATTTTTCATAGACATATAAAAGTAGATGTATCAGCAGATAATATCGCCATTTGATACTTAAAATTTCCAGAATTGTGAGAGATATTAATTTCTAGTAATAGTTGTATGATAGTATAGGAACGAATTGGGAACACATAACAGCCGGTAGTGAAGTATGACAGTAGATGGTATGGTCGCCAAAGGTCTTGGAGGACGGTAGTGGTATGTTGGGACATTTCAAAGTTGACATTATTGGATCAGTAGTGCGTAATACCGCCACGATTGTGTCAAACATTCATTCCCTCGACAAGGCATACTGCGTATTAATCTCCCACTGGCGGTGTAAGGGAGTCTCATATTTAATATTTAATCATATTTAAACCCCGTGGGGATTCCCAAGTAGCCTATGCTTGTAAGAGGCGTCCTAACGGATGGGGTGATCAGACTCGGTCACTTTGTTGATGCGTACCATCGTACCTCGACCGCTTACAATACCAATCACTGGTTTTCCTGATGAAGTCTGGATTACGTACGAGCAATAGTCTCAAAAGAGGAATATTGCCTAATGCGACGTTTAAACAAATTTGTTTGTTTGTTGTTTAACGCCGCACACATCAATATTCCAGCCATATGACGGCGGTCTTTAAATAATCGAGACTGGTCCAGACAGTCCAGTGATTGACATCATGAGCAATGATCTACGCAATTGGGATACGATGACATGAATCAACTAAGTCAGCGAGCCTGACCACCCGATCCCGTTTAAAAAGTAACATACCTTAATTTTCAAAGCTCGTTCAAATTTAAGGTGTTAAGAAAGACGTAAAGAATTACAATTTTATCAACAAACGTAAAGACGTGTAGCTGAAAAAAACTAAACCTAACACGTAAAAACTATATGTGCTGGATATAAAAGCAGAATCTTTGGTAAAGTTTGTATTCAACTAATGAAATTGTGTAACACACTAGTCTGTTACAAAATAATAAACAAGAATATATGTACGTCACCCATTTAGGTCATCTAAAATCCATACCATTTATTACATTAAGTTTTCATTAACAATTTCTGTAAGTATTTAATGTTGACATTTTTACGATAGCTTTTTGTTTTACAAATTTTGCAATAATTCGTTAGAATCCTATATATATTTGCGTTTATGATTTGTGGCATACCAACCATCACATAATGTGTGAATGCTTATTTGAGAATCGACTTTTTTCTCTTTTTTTTCGATAATCACCCAAATATATATTTATAGCAATTAAATCAGTGTTGCATATATTACCACTGCCCAAATTTTCATATGTATACTCCATCTACGCAAATCCACCCGTTAAAATGCTGATAAAGTTAACATCATCATTAAAGCATTAGTTTGGGAATTGGATTGTCTCTTTATATGTCAGCACTAGCTGGTATACATTTATACCCCAGGGCAATGCTTGGCAAATGTCCTATTTAGAGATAGGTATTAAAGCCATCATTTGGTACGCATGTCTGAAGAGGCCTTAAGAGGTACGTGAATAATTTGTTTTGAAATCGGCAATTAGATAATTATTCTAGTACATTTTGCAACTCTTGGTATATTATACAAATGGATATTATATTGTTGTCGTTTTGGAAAGCCAGGTCCAATGCTCAAATGAACGGATGTTGCAGTCAAGTGGGCGTTTCATGAACAACCGCACGTATACATTTGAATATATCACTCAACACAGCCCTACAACTAACAACATCAAGTTTTATAACACATTTCTGTTATCTGTATACAGTGCGATGTTTAACTGACAATCTACATTTTTATACATTTTTAAAACAAAATCATGTTGCCAAAATTTAATTTAAATACTCTAGATTATATTGATCGAAGTACCCATATCCCGTCGCGCATTTGGATTGTCTTCGACACGTCATGAAAGCCAAAACGTTGAATCACGCGCCTTGAAAACATGACAACAAAGGGTGTCAGTATGCTGTCCCGATAGTGCTGTCCAGGGTATTTTCCTTGCACAATATGGAGTTGGGTTCGGTCAGTCATAGTGATGCCTCCCCACACCATACCCCATCCACCGCCAAATCTGTCATGACATCTCAGGTTGACATTGGATTGACGTTCATTTCGACGTCGCAGACACGACCCCACCTATCAAGAAAGTGCAAATAGAATCGGGATTCATCTGAAAACATGACACGTGACCAGCGCGGATTACACGACGTTTCGACATTGTGTACACCATTGACGTCTGTTGGCAATATAAGGAGCGGCACAGCACGTGGTCGTCGAGCATGGCCATGAGCTGCATGTAGACGATTTCTAATCGTCTGACCCGTAACTCGTACTGTAGTAGCGTGGTGAATGTTTGCAGCAATCTGATGCGCCGTTTGAGCTCGATGTGGTAAAGCCTGGTTTCATGTACTGTTGTTGTTGACCTGGGACTTCCTGAACGGGTTCAGGGACTTGTTGTCAACACTTTGGGTTTGTTGGTACCTGTTCCATACTCACTGACTGTGAAACAATAAACGTATTGGCCACTGCATGCTGACTTCTGCCTGTTTCCAGCATGCCAATAGCCCCGTCGACGCTCCGTGCGTTGCTGACGCTGCATCGCTAGTTCATACAAAGATAATGAATGAAATCAAGTAAATCAGAATTGTATGAGCAGCAGATTGACAGAAATATGGTTCCACAGAGATAAATCGACCTTCCTTCAAAGTGTCAAAATCAGGAATGACACCCAACGCGTGGCACTACTGTGTGAAGCACCCGAAGCACGTGCAAACTACAGGATTTGTTTTGGTGTTTAGTTTTATAGACATCAACGTTCTTGCATAGGATGTTTGTCGTCAGAACTTATCTTTGTTCCAATACTTAGTATTAACATTTGTGCTTGGCGGGGTTTCTCGTGACGTTAGTTTCTTGTTATACAGGAAAATGCTCACCGATAATATACTTCTTTAGGGTGCAACCAAGAACGAAATTTGAGGATTTTGCTGACAATACATCATTCGACATCGATCAGGAGTCATGACAATGCTTGAGCTGCGTCGTGCTCGGAATTCCACACAAATGTATATATATATAGCTGACAACGTCAGTGAGTATTTATTGTGCCAGCCAGCGGGAGGCGTCGACAGGTATGCAGACCATTTTCACTTACATATACATGTACCATAAATATTTATTGACTGTTGTCACTGTCCGACTGACACATCACTTACCTTCTGCCGTAATATATATTAATGCGCACATTCCAGAGAAGACTTGCAATGTCTAGGCAATGTTTGTGAGAGATGGTAAGATATGTTTCTAGCACACAATTGAAAAAGTACATTATATGATAAAGAGGCTTGTGTGTTTGGAGATGGTAAATATCCTGTATTAGGAATAAACATTATGTAGCTAGGTCTCCAAGGCTCGCAAAATACAATGTTTATTCCTATTACAAGATATTTACCATCCCCAAACACGCTCGCGTGTTAACCTCTCTATGTATTTATTGCACTGAAGAAGACCGCCTCCGTGGTCTAATGGTAGAGCGTCCGCCCGGAGAGCGGAAGGTCCGGGGTTCGATTCCCCGCCGCGTCATACCAAAAGACGTTAAAAGATGGTACTTGTTGTTACCCCGTCTGGCGCTCGGCATTAAGGGGCTAAAACAAGGACTGGTCGGCTCGGAGTCAGTATACTGTGTCTGAGTGGGGTATTCATGTTAAACTGCGGCATGGTATCTCAGTGTGCTAGCACTATAAATCAGCATCAGTCCGGACTTGTACAAGCAGCACACACACACACATACACGTGCATGCACGTCGCTATATAAGTGCAATATTCTTGGACACGACGTTAAACCCTGAAAACTAACCAACATTTGCCCTGTGACTTGGCTGCTCAGGCCCTGTGACTTGGCTGCTCAGATCCCGTGACTTGGCTGCTCAGGCCCTGTTACTTGGCTGTGACTTGGCTGCTCAAGCCCTGTGACTTGGCTGATCAGTCCCTGTGTCTTGGCTGTGGCTTGGCTGCTCAGGCCCTGTGACTTGGCTGCTCAAGACCCCTGCTTAGTCCCTGTGACTTGGCTGTGACTTTGCTGCTCAGGCCCCGTGCCTTGGCTGCTCAGACCCTGTGACTTGGCTGCTCAGACCCTGTGACTTGGCTGTGACTTGGCTGCTAAGGTCCTGTAATATGGCTGCTCAGACCCCGTGCCTTGGCTGCTCAGACCCCGTGCCTTGGCTGCTCAGACCCTGTGACTTGGCTGCTCAGACCCTGTGACTTGGCTGCTCAGTTCCTGTAACTTGGCTGCTTAGGCCCTGTAACATGGCTGCTCAGACCCAGTGACTTGGCTGCTTAGACCCCGTGACTTGGCTGCTCAGACCCCGTGCCTTGGCTGCTTAGACCCAGTGACTTGGCTGTTCAGACCCTGTGACTTGGCTGCTTAGGCCCCGTGACTTGGCTGCTCAGACCCCGTGCCTTGGCTGCTTAGACCCAGTGACTTGGCTGTTCAGACCCTGTGACTTGGCTGCTTAGGCCCCGTGACTTGGCTGCTCAGACCCCGTGACTTGGCTGCCCAGACCCTGTGACTTGGCTGCTCAGGCCCTGTGACTTGGCAGCTTAGACCCTGTGACTTGGCTGCTCAGGCCCTGTGACTTGGCTGTGACTTGGCTGTGACTTGGCTGCTCAGGCCCTGTAGCATGGCTGCTCAGACCCCGTGCCTTGGCTGCTCAGACCCCGTGCCTTGGCTGCTCAGACCCTGCGACTTGGCTGCTCAGTTCCTGTAACTTGGCTGCTTAGGCCCTGTAACATGGCTGCTCAGACCCCGTGACTTGGCTTTTTAGACCCCGTGATTTGGCTGCTCAGACCCTGTAACTTGGCTGCTCAGTTCCTGTAACTTGGCTGCTTAGGCCCTGTAACATGGCTTCTCAGACCCCGTGCCTTGGCTGCTTAGATCCAGTGACTTGGCTGCCCAGACCCTGTGACTTGGCTGCTCAGTTCCTGTGACTTGGCTGCTCAGACCCTGTGACTTGGCTGCTCATACCCGGTGACTTGAATGCATAGACCCCGTGACTTGGCTGTTCAGGCCCTGTGTCTTGTCTGTGACATGGCTGTTTAGACCCTGTGACTTGGCTGCTCAGACCCTGTGACTTTGCTGCTCTGACCCTGTGACTTGGCTGCTCAGGCCCTGTGACTTGGCTGCTCAGACCCTGTGACATGGCTGCTCATACCCGGTGACTTGAATGCATAGACCCTGTGACTTGGCTGCTTAGACCCTGTGACTTGGCTGCTCAGTTCCTGTGACTTTGCTGCTCAGACCCTGTGACTTGGCTGCTCAGGCCCTGTGACTTGGCTGCTCAGACCCTGTGACATGGCTGCTCATACCCGGTGACTTGAATGCATAGACCCTGTGACTTGGCTGCTTAGACCCTGTGACTTGGCTGCTCAGTTCCTGTGACTTGGCTGCTCAGGCTCTGTGCCTTGTCTGTGACTTGGCTGTTCAGGCCCTGTGACTTGGCTGCTCAGACACTGTGACTTTGCTGCTCAGACCCTGTGACTTTGCTGCTCAGGCCCTGTGACTTGGCTGCTCAGACCCTGTGACATGGCTGCTCATACCCGGTGACTTGAATGCTTAGACCCTGTGACTTGGCTGCTTAGACCCTGTGACTTGGCTGCTCAGGCCCTGTATCTTGGCTACTCAGGCTCAGTGCCTTGTCCGTGACATGGGTGTTCAGGCCCCGTGACTTGGCTGCTCAGTTCCTGTGGCTTTGCTGCTCAGACCCTGTGACTTGGCTGCTCAGGCCCTGTGACTTGGCTGCTCAGACCCTGTGACATGGCTGCTCATATCCGGTGACTTGAATGCTTAGACCCTGTGACTTGGCTGCTCAGACCCTGTGACTTGGCTGATGCGATGATCGTTGCTCATCATGTTCAGTCACTGGTTTGGCAAAGCACATAATATTCATAATACTTGGTAGTTACATATACTAGAATTTGAAAATATTGTCTGTATGTCTGTATATCAAACAGTATCAATCATATCCTTTTAATATGTATTTACTTCTGTTATGTATCTAATGATCGTTCGGGTCATATATGTAATAGCATTGGTTATTGTAGGAGCCTCATGGGAGGTTTCATCATTTGCTCATTCGCGTTCCTTGTTTCCACCAAAGCTCGGGACGTACATAATGGTGGACGAATGATAGTAGTCACTCTTTACTCCTTGTTAATATATCTCACAATATGCGAGTTTATCATACAGTATGCGAGGTTATCTTACAGTATGCAAGTTTATCTTACAGTATGCAATTTTTTCTAGTAACCAGAAATCTCATGAATATACACCTGAAAAAGGTTAACCACCGCTTAGTACATATTTCTAAAAATCGCATCCTGTATTATTTTTCTAAATAAATATTCATATTGAAAATACCGAAACTGAAATCGATTGTCCAACATATTTTGTAACTGTTACGTGACTATAGTTATTGAGTAGGCCTTACAAATGCTTCCTCGGCTTTCTTATTGCGTATGATTGAACAAGTTCCTCTGTCCGTTTAGAAGTACATGCGGTACTTCTTTACATATAACTTATCTTAGACATGTGTGACCAACTTTGAGATAAGGGACATATAATAAGAAGTCAAAAATCACATTTTTACTTCTCATTATAGTTTAAAACCACAGTATCTTAGGAACACAAAATACAAGTCACCAGCTTCAATTTGTATTTTAACACAGAGATACATGGCATCAAACATTTCGAATCATATTTCCACTTACAGCTGCTTATGTAATAATTGCAGTTTTAAGCTATGTCTGATTAATTTAAAGTAGACATATATGCTGAAAGGTTTTGAAATAATGTTTTTATTACATTACGAAAAATAGCGAGGCATATTTGTGTACAGTAGGCATACAGGGCGATTTTTACTGAAGTGAGCTGACGTCAAAAGTCTTTATGACATCACAGCACAATGGAACCTAGCAGCCATCAGGTCCCTTTTCTTCTTATTGGTCATATTTATCGAAATGAGATCAATACCACACATATTCCGATGCATGGGAAGTTGAGGATACATGACACAATAATGAGAGTGGTGCTTAGCTTTGTTCCTTCCATGTGTATATCTACAGAGAAGTTGTGTGATATAGGCTTTGTTCCTTCCAGGTGTATATCTACAGAGAAGTTGTGTGATATAGGCTTTGTTCCTTCCAGGTGTATATCTACAGAGAAGTTATGTGATATAGGCTTTGTTCCTTCCAGGTGTATATCTACAGAGAAGTTGTGTGATAAAGGCTTTGTTCCTTCCAGGTGTATATCTACAGAGAAGTTGTGTGATATAGGCTTTGTTCCTTCCAGGTGTATATCTACAGAGAAGTTGTGTGATATAGGCTTTGTTTCTTCCAGGTGTATATCTACAGAGAAGTTATGTGATATAGGCTTTGTTCCTTCCAGGTGTATATCTACAGAGAAGTTGTGTGATATAGGCTTTGTTCCTTCCATGTGTATATCTACAGAGAAGTTATGTGATAAAGGCTTTGTTCCTTCCAGGTGTATATCTACAGAGAAGTTGTGTGATATAGGCTTTGTTCCTTCCAGGTGTATATCTACAGAGAAGTTGTGTGATAAAGGCTTTGTTCCTTCCAGGTGTATATCTACAGAGAAGTTATGTGATATAGGCTTTGTTCCTTCCAGGTGTATATCTACAGAGAAGTTATGTGATATAGGCTTTGTTCCTTCCAGGTGTATATCTACAGAGAAGTTGTGTGATATAGGCTTTGTTCCTTCCAGGTGTATATCTACAGAGAAGTTATGTGATAAAGGCTTTGTTCCTTCCAGGTGTATATCTACAGAGAAGTTGTGTGATATAGGCTTTGTTCCTTCCAGGTGTATATCTACAGAGAAGTTATGTGATATAGGCTTTGTTCCTTCCAGGTGTATATCTACAGAGAAGTTGTGTGATATAGGCTTTGTTCCTTCCAGGTGTATATCTACAGAGAAGTTGTGTGATATAGGCTTTGTTCCTTCCAGGTGTATATCTACAGAGAAGTTATGTGATATAGGCTTTGTTCCTTCCAGGTGTATATCTACAGAGAAGTTATGTGATATAGGCTTTGTTCCTTCCAGGTGTATATCTACAGAGAAGTTGTGTGATATAGGCTTTGTTCCTTCCAGGTGTATATCTACAGAGAAGTTATGTGATATAGGCTTTGTTCCTTCCAGGTGTATATCTACAGAGAAGTTGTGTGATATAGGCTTTGTTCCTTCCAGGTGTATATCTACAGAGAAGTTGTGTGATATAGGCTTTGTTCCTTCCAGGTGTATATCTACAGAGAAGTTATGTGATATAGGCTTTGTTCCTTCCAGGTGTATATCTACAGAGAAGTTATGTGATATAGGCTTTGTTCCTTCCAGGTGTATATCTACAGAGAAGTTGTGTGATATAGGCTTTGTTCCTTCCAGGTGTATATCTACAGAGAAGTTATGTGATATAGGCTTTGTTCCTTCCATGTGTATATCTACAGAGAAGTTGTGTGATATAGGCTTTGTTCCTTCCAGGTGTATATCTACAGAGAAGTTGTGTGATATAGGCTTTGTGGAAGAATGTCACGTGGTTCTTATACAGTTTCAGTATGGCGTCTGTGAATATTGTGCTAGCTGTACTTTTGGTGCTGCCATTGACGTCGGTAATTGCACAAGGTGAGGGGATTATTATTCAAGAAAATTTAGACCATTGACAAATGTTTCTCAAGATCGATTTATCGTAAAAGCGAGATTTTTCACTTCTTATGGTTCTGTTAGGTAAAAAATCCGGTTTTAATGTTAGTTATATGAACGCCCAAAGTGAGTGGATTGTAGCGGACGAGTGCTGCTGCTTTGCTTCGGCACAGTCATGCCATTAAAAGCGGAATAAGCCGTGGACCCGAGCCTTCTGGAGGGAAGCGGAATAAACCGAATGGACCCGAGCCTTCTGGAGGGTAGCGGAATAAACCGAATGGACCCGAGTCGTCTGGTCGGTAGCGGAATAAACCGAATGGACCCGAGTCTGCTGGTCGGTAGCGGAATAAACCGAATGGACCCGTCTGCTGTCGGTAGCGGAATAAGCCGAGTGGACCCGAGTCTGCCGGGTGAGGTGCCGCCATTGTTGCTAACGAACTTGAATACGTCTTTGATCAACTGAAACAAAAAAAAAGCTTGTAACAATAAAATAAGCTTCTGATAAATCATGACTTTGTCATGGCCTTACTGAGCGTCATCTATGGTGAACGGACCGCCTCCGTTATCTAGTGGTTGAGCATCCGCCCGAGAGCGGAAGGTCGGGGATTTGATGCCAGGCCATGTGAATATATGGTACTTGTTGTTATCCTGTCTGGCGCTCGGCATTAGGGGCTAAAGCCAGGACTGGTCGGCTCGCAGTCAGTATACTGTCTGAGTATTGTGTTCATCTTAAACTGCGGTATGGTGTCTCAGTGGGCTAGCACTATAAACTCGGCATTAGTCCGGACTAGTACAAATACACACAAATACACACACACACACACACACACACACGTTGAGATTTTGATCCTATTAATACATTTGACTTCATGCATGTATCTTTCTGGTTTATAAACTCGAGTGGTTTAAAACTATGGTAAAGTTTCTTCTTGCCGTCAGTTTATGACGCGATGGAAATGACGCTTATAAAAACCAAAGTATTTAGGTTTATTGTTAACTTGTGCTTTTCATATAAACTGTATACTAACCCTTGAACGCCATCTTCGTCACACAGGGAATCTGGATGCCGGAGCAGGAACCGGTTGGAACGGAGTGAGTGGAACCGGATACCCCTACTGTTGTACATGCGTAAGTGCTGGAGACAGTTTGGATTTCTTGAGAAAGTACGATGCTCTGTATAAAAAAGATAGCTTTTATTAGTGTGTTTGTTGTTGACCGCCGCACACAGGGAATTTCCAGCTGTGTGACGGCGGCCTGTATGAGCAACGACCCACGCAGCCGCGTGGCTGGGAACCTATTCTAACATGTATTTCTTACTGGGAAACTTTATCGAAAAAAACATATTATCCCAAGGATAAAATGCTTTAAAAAATAATAATGCTTCAGTCTACTGAAAACAATATATTGTTGCAAGGTGTTATTAAATATTGTTTTTAATTTAGGCTCATATCTTTAATAGAAAAATCTGTTTTGGCTTATATAGCTCAAAAATAATATCTAGTCTCTATACAAAATCCCAGCTCCAAACCCGTTCCAAGTTGGTCTTCATCACAAGAATGACGTAATTTGACAAGGCATCAACGTCGGAAAAAGTAAAACAAGTATAGTTTTCTTCGCTCACAACACAATGGCAAAACCTTGATAGTAAATAATTAATAGTAAGAGGCGACTAAAGGGATCGGGTGGTCAGCCTCGTTGAACTGGTTGATCCCAATTGCGTAGAGCGATGCTAATGATGCCAATCACTGGGTTGTCTGGCCTAGACTCAAGTTTTAACAGACCACTGCCATATAACTGGAACATTGCTGTGTGCGGGTTAAACAACAAACAAATAATAATAAGTTATGTTTAACGCAATAGAATTTCGACTAATAACGGCGCATAATTGATGATTTGAATCTTAGATAAAGATCCCTATGTACCATGTCATATAGACGGATGTCGTTCAAGCCCTTGACAGTTTCAAGACATGTTTCACTTGTCGTTGATTGTAATAAACTCTCATGTATTTCAGGGTGCGCACAACGTGGGGCTGTGTGCTGCGCTTCTTGTCGTGTCATTGCTGGTTGGAGTGGTCTTTCCATATCGACCTTGACCGACCATGTGCGAAACAAGAGTGGCAGAAAAACGTCGCCATACTCAGATGATAAAATGGCAATATCCACATAAGGATATCTGTTGCCCAGTCGTCTATGGCGCCGCTGATTCGCCAAGATAATGGTTCTTTTTCAGCATCATAATCGTGCACGGGGAACTCAAAACGTATTTTGTTAAATAATGTACACAAAGAAAAACATATGACTCGTATGTGACATTATCCTTCAGTAGTTTGTTCTTTGTTATGTAGAGAGCACGATTGACCGGGTGACCCTAGGTGCATAAAGTCAGGATGAGTTTGAATCCAGGATTCGCCTTGGTTATCATCTTTGGCTTGTCATAATCATACCTTTGTTCTTGGGGTTCACCAAAGGGGTAAGCGTCTACGACCTGCATCACTTAGGGTTTTCGTCTCATATTTACCTCACTTGCCGTCTTGAACCTGAAATGCTGTCATAAAACACAAGTTACTCAGTCCTTTGTTATGGTTTTATCCTTGGCGATGAATAGTCACTAAAGAATCCACTCATTCATCAATCAGAATTTTTAAGTCTTTCATTTGTTAGATGCATTAGTAGCTAGGTGTGTTTGTTTGTTTTTTTGCTTAACGCTGCGCTCAAGCTAGATGATGGCGGTCTGTATAAGCATCGATCCACGCCGTCGGACCAACCCTCTGGAACAGACAATCCAGTGACTGACCTCCTGAGCAACGATCCACACATTTGATTTGGTTGGTTGGTTTGTTGTTTAACGCCACACTCAGCAATATTCCAGCTATATGGCGGCGGTCTGTAAATAATCGAGTCAGCAGACAATCCGATTAATATCATGAGCATCGATCCGCGCAATTGGTCTGCGATCAACCAAGCCTGCGAGCCTGACCACCCGATCCCGTTAGTCGCCTCTTACGACGAGCATAGTCGCCTTTTATGGCAAGCATGGGTTGCCGAAGACCTAATGAGAAAACACACATTTGAGATAGATGACATGCAATGAAATTCACCGAGCCTGATCATCCGACCCAGATACTCGATTCTTACGACATGCATATAGGTTGTTGGGGACCTATATTCTTACCCGAAATCCCCAATAGCTAGAAGACGTGGGTGCACTTAATACCCCCTTCACATACACGGATTTTTCTTACGAGTCTTTACGGATCGCCAACTCGTAGTCAATCGCAAGCATCCGTTAATAACTCGCTGGTATCCGTAAATAACTCGTCACTACTCGCAGACACTCTTAAGGATCAGTGAAAGGATAGGCAATTTTTTTGACATGTCAAAAATCATCTTACGATTGTCCACGGATTGATTTTTTCGTAAATAACTCGTAACAATCCGTAAATATCGTAAACCGCTCGCAACAACACGTACCCATCCGTAAACTGCTCGCAAGAATCCGTAAATGACTCGTAACAATTATTTTTACGATTTGTTACGGTTAGTTTACAATTTGGTTACGGATTATTACGAGTGCTTACGTGTTGTTTACTATTTTATTCGGGCCGTGTTACGATGGCATTACGGATTGTTACGAGTTATTATGGGCACTTTACGTGTAGTTACGAGTACTTTACGAACAGATACGTATACTTTACGTATTCCTACGTATTGTTTACGATTTGGGGAAAGGTATAAAAGCTGCAAAATCGAACAATTCATTTTCAGTTGTATTGAGAAGTCCTAGAAGTCCCATCCCTGCATATCTACTCTACAATATCAGTCGCGGAATACCTGGTAGCTGCTGGGCCTCGTCCTCTTCCCTCTGGGCTAGTTGAAGGAGCAATTGTAGAAATTGTCGATATAACTGCAATCTGTTTCTCTCATATGCCATGTTGTCTCTCTGGATGTCAGTTGTCGAATGATGATACATTGCGATTTACAGGATCTATATATTTTTTGGCAAAAAAATCGTAAGGACTCTTAGTACTCGTAACGATTCGTAACAACACGTAAACAGGTTGTAACTAACACGTAAAAGCTTCGATGAAAAGCAACATTCCGTAATATACTCGTAAGAATCCGTAAAAAGCTCGTAAAATGCCCGTAAGTTGCTCGTAGTTATCCGTGACAACTCGTAACAACTCGTGGAATTTTGCCGTAAATACATCGTAATAACTTGTAATAATCCGTAATAAACCATAAATAGCTCGTTATAACTCGTAACAACTCTTAAATCGATCGTGAAAGTGTCCAAATCCTAAGGATCCGTGAATTTGTGCGATCGGTAAGGACTCTTAAGTAAAATCCGTGTATGTGAAGGGGGCATAATACTAAAACAGCAGTATAGTGAATGACTCTCGGGTATGGTACGAGGTTATTTAAATTAATTAAAGTTTGTTTGTTTGTTGTTTAACGCCGCACTCAGCAGTATTCTAGCTATATGCCTTACCACCCGATCTTGTTAGTCGCCTCTTACGACAAGCATAGTCGCCTCTTTACGGCAAGTATGGGTTGCTGAAGATCTATTCTCTACCCGGTTCTTCACGGGTGACATTCGTTGAGAATTGTCCGCGAGTTCAATTTACAGATAAAGAATCCCGTTGAAGTTGTCTGTTTTTGACGTCAAAACAAAATTGACGGTTCTATGCATGATGAAAGGCTCAGAGGTTTAATAGATATGTTGAATGGTTCCGTCGATTAAAAAAAAGGTACCGTAGGTTCTTTAAAAACATGATTGAATCTAAGTTTATCGTACTTATAGCTAACGAGACTTGAGACTGATATAAGGATCTAAGTTTAAAAGGTATTGTGGTGGATTACAAGGTGCACAACGGTTACAAAGTGCATATGGTATTTAATAATCAACACTTACTGCCTCCTTCAAGATTCCGGGGTAGAATAGATCTTCAGCAACCCATGCTTGCCGTAGAAGGTGACTAACGGGATCGGGTGGTCTGGCTCGCTGACTTGGTTGATGCATGTCATCGATCCCAACATCTTCCCGAGGCAAGAGAGTTAACTGACTTTAAAAGTCCAGTTTCTACCCTTGCCGAACTAGGCTGGAATTCCTGGGCTCGATCGTAGCGCCACCAGTGGCTACTACGAGTTATGTCCTTTCTATGCCTCTCCTATTGACCAATCAGATTCAACCTCTCGTATCACTTGCATTTGTTTTAACAAAACGGTGGCGCCCAGTCAAGACGATCTGATCGATAATCAAGATCTATATTGTGATAAAACGAGTCTTGTATCGCGAAGTGCATCAAATCACGTGAGCACCTTGATTAAAAACATGAAAAGATAAGAAAATATCTGTTGACAACGAGTTGGCGGTGCACATGCTTTGCAAATCCTTCAGTCGACCGAAATCTGCATGACACTCCACGAACCGGATTTCGATTTCGGTGCGCGATTTTGATTGGACTATGCATAGACTCGTTAGTCCAGCCACAATCTAACTCCATAATACCAGCCTAGTTCGGCAAGGGTGGAAACTGGACTTTTATAGTCAGTTAACTCACTTGCCTCGGGAAGATGCGATCCCAATTGCGTGGATCGATGCTCATGATATTAATCACTGGATTGCATTACTCGTTCAGTAGTTCCATTTCTGTTTGTTAACAGCAAGGAAATGGCTCAGTTGACTGCGACCTACGTTCAGTTGAGCTATAACTAGACCTGGCTTTAAGAAAAACGACATTCCGTGTAATATCCCTTTATATATTTTACCAAGAAGTGAATAATTTATAAAAGTAATTAACTAATCACAGATTTCAATACAAATTATTCACGTACCTATCAAACCCACATTGTGATATTGTGTTTTGGTTTGGTTTGTTGTTTTACGCCGCACTCAGCAATATTCTACCTATATGACGGCGGTCTGTAAATAATCGAGTCTGACCAGACAATCCACTGATTTACATTATGACCATCGATCCACGCAATTCTGACATGCATCAACCAAGTCAGCGAGCCTGACCACCCGATCCCGTTAATCGCCTTTAACGGCAAGCATGGGTTGCTGAAGACCTATTCTACCCCGAATCTTCACGGGCAGTGATAATGATGTGTTGTGGATATTTTTGGCCATTGGTGATTTTTACCAATTTGATTGTAAAGACCAACGAAAAGCCAAAGCTCAAGTGAAGACAAAAAAAGTAACTTGTAATTTGTAAAGTGGACATGTAAAACTAGATAGAGAAGGCTGCATTTGCTCAGGTCATTCATATTTTTCATGGTATTCATGGACCATGTGTAAAGTTTGTTTGTTGTTTAGCGCCGCACTCAGCAATATGCCAGCTGTATGACGGCGGTCTGTTAAATAATCGAATCTGGACCAGACAATCCAGTGATTGACATCATGCGCATCGATCCAAGCAATTGTTTGTTTGTTGTTTAACGCCGCACCCAGCAGTATTCCAGCTATATATATGACGGTGGTCTGTGAAATAATCGAGTCTGGACCACATAATCCAGTGATTGACATCATGAGCATCGATCCACGCAATTGGGATCGATGACATGCATCAACCAAGTCAGCGAGCCTGACCACCCGATCCCGTTAGTCGCCTTTTACGGCAAGCATTGGTTGCTGAAGACCTATTCTACCCCGGAATCTTCACGGGACACACAGTACAGTCATACACATGAGTTGTTAGGGCAGAACATAATTAAAGTCTATGTTGGTTGGTTTGTTGTTTAACGCCGCCCTATAGAGTAAGGTTATGGGCTGGTGTTCAATTACACCAGAAATCTATACTATAAATAACACATACCATATTATTACATTTGGCATTTACTGTATATCATGATCATTTTATTCAAGCAAATATTACACAGTACAGTCGCTGGTTGGTTTGTTTGTTTGTTGTTTAACGCCGCACTCAGCAATATTCCAGCGGTCTGTAAATAATCGAGTCTGGGCCAGACAATCTAGTGATTGACATCATGAGCATCGATCCAAGCAATTGTTTGTTTGTCGTTTAACGCCGCACTCAGCAATATTCCAGCGGTCTGTAAATAATCGAGTCTGGGCCAGACAATCCAGTGATTGACACCATGAGCATCGATC